AATGTATGTATATATATATATATATATGTGTGTGTGTGTGTGTACAGATATATTATAAAGTACAATATAGTCTAGTATAGTATAGTATAGCATAGAGAAAGTATACTGTACATTTGTACTCACATACCACGCGTCACATACTTTAAAGATACGTAGCTTAATCTTGCTTTTACTTATATCTCATGCTCTTGATCTTCCGTAGGCTCTCGTTGGACTGAGACAATGGCTGCAAACAGACACACAGTCAGCGCACAGACCAAGCACGGAGTCCCTGGCCACCAATTGAAGGGGTTGTGCCCCCGCCTACACCTCGTGTCATTGGTGTCACTGTGTGGTGCGAGGGCACGACACAGTGTACAAACAGGTACACAAGAAAAGATGTAGATATAAGTGCAAGCACACGCACTAGAACAAATATTAATATGAATAAGATAACCATGTACACTGAATCGGTGGGTGCGCCTGTGTGGATAGGCATATGAGTAGGTACGAACACGCACAACTACTACGTGATGACTGTAAGCCGGGGAAGAGGTGTATTTGTGTGGGTGGCCGTGAATATCTGGGTGAATACTCAGTGAGTACATCACAGAATGGGTGGACCTAAAAGTCCGTACAGACATGATATGAGATACACGTACATCAGACGGGATGGATAGGACGTAAGCGCAGGTGAGATCACAGATACTGTTATGGGCAATACGCCAAAAGGTTGCACAGATAACACAGCAAGAAACAAATCACACGCAGAAGTTCTGACGGGGGTTATGTGTTCATACAGGGACGTCATAGGCACCGGCACAACCATTGATGCGGGTTGTACATACGTGAATGCATAAAGAAAAGGGTCTATGCACCTATCTCAGCAAACGTGCTCAAAAAACGTTAACGGACACATAAGAACGGGCGCGGGTTCGGGAACTGGCAAATAGACGTGTAGCTAGAGGAATAGGTGCGCATTGATGGTACAAGCACGCACCAGCACTACAATAGTGCCCCAGTTGCAATAAACTAGGCTGCCGTATGCGTGCGTTCCAGCGCAAGCCCTATAACAACTGTGCACCTATATGCATAATGGTTTAAATGTACATTAAATGTACATAAATTGATCAGGTCTCTGGCATGAAGACGGCCTGGGATTTACAATATCAAAGAAGAATAATCTTGTGTGTACCTCCATAGCCTTCTGAAAATTGAACAAGAAGGCTATGGTACCTCCACCGAGCGTATCCGACAATATCTGCGCCTATGCCTGCACACATGTAAAAGTCCTTCAAAATGCGGACAGACACGATGTCATTAATCTCACATCCTGGTGCAAGTCGTATAAAACCTTAACCGGCAGAGTTGAAACCGTACATCTATTACTTTAGAAGTACGGCAACTCCACTTGGAATAAAGAGGTAAATACCACTGGAAGCCGGTTCAGTCGATATACAGTTGCTGGTGAGAGGATAGTTGGATCAAAAAAAAACTGGCACACTAATATGTAGCAGAGTGACAGTAGAAAGCCGTGACACGTGTCGAAGGTGTGGGAATGTATCAACCACAGCATACGGGCCTGGGTGCCTGGGGTCGTCTAGTGTAGAAATATAACAGTTAATTAAAAATCATATACCTTTATAGTACGGAGGCTACTATGCGTGGGGAACATGGAATATTTAAAAACTATTTAGGCTGGATAAAGTGGTTTTATTTCACGTGCACATGCACAAATAAAGTACATATGACATAGCCATACATATACACATCTATTCACATTCCCATGCACATTCCTATTCATGCACACATACACGTACAGGTATACAAATCCATGCACATACATATACCCATTGTCATACTCATACAAAAGCCTATTCACATACTATCACACACATATATATATATCCACATACACATGCACATGCCTATTCACGCACACGTACACATAAACAATACCCATACACATGCCTATTTACATACACATACATATACAAATACCTATATACCCATACACACGCCTATTCACATACACATACGCTTACACATATCTATTCACACATTTTCACACACATGCACATACCTATCCACACACATACGCATGTCTATTCACATACACATACACATACACATAGTTATTGACATACCCATACCCATGCACATACACATATGCCCGATTCGCACGCGCGTACATACACATACCTTTATTATTCTGCTACTAGTCTCTCTCTCTCTAGAGACTGAGAGACAGAAAATGGGGACTCGAGGGAGTCAAGGCTAACTCAACACGTTGTACGATAAACCGTTAAAATAATTGAAATAAAAATGGTTCTACATATACCATAGCCTTCTTGAAAGGCACATATACGTTCTAATTTTATATTGATATTGATTTTTTAAGAACACCGGAAGTAGCTAAAACCGTTGCATCTAGAGTCCCGGCCAGTTTTTACTAGGTAGGCGCTATTCCACCTAAAGACTACCAACAAGGCTTAATCGAAGCACAAGACATATCTAATATGTTCCAGCGAAAGAAGAACATCGGTAGCTATGTTGGACTGTACGCCTCATGCGGTAGAAGCTGTATTAAAATTCGATTCTGATCATGTTTCGGTCAACAATTTTTTCCTGGGAGCTTCGATCATCTCATTGGCCTATTAATTTTGGCGCGATGTTTGTGTTTCAAAAACTCACCCCCACATAATTACATTGTTGTGCACACACAAAAAGTCAAAACGTGAACACAAATAAACATGAATACACACAAATGCACCTATACACTTTCGATCATGCCCACCTGTACAAACACAATAAAAATTGCAAGAAGCTATGTGCTTCCAAGGGTGGTCATGTATCCTGCCTTTTATGCTTTTGTGAAAGATCATGCATGCAGAATATCGAAGATGCAACCCCTATTACAAGAACATCACAGAGACGATTGTCACGATTCCAGGGGTCATTCCAAAGCACTATTGACTCCACTATTGAATCAGCTATTGACTCGGAAAATGAACGTCATATTGAGGACTATTGAGTAGCGTACAGGACTTATTTCAACGACATGGATAGTCGCAGGGTTGCTCGCTATGGCTTATTTGAATCTTTCTCAGTTGATAAGCAGAAAAGACTTGTTAAGAGATACTGACGATGTATGTATGTGGTGGCAACTAGTATTCTCCCAGATGATGTTGTATCTTTAATTAGCGCATCTATCAAACCAACAGAAAAAGCTTTAACAGAGCATCTAACCATGGTATATAATTCCATACGCAAGTGCGAGAGCAGTGCTCGCAATTTAGGGATGATTGTGCTATCGTAGATCGCTAGACCAAGTCCGCATGAGAAGAAAAAGCGCAAACAAACTATACTACCTCGATTATTTTAGGAGAACTCTTGAGACTTCCTCTGTTACGACTAACACTTAAGACTACGGCTGTTAAGCGTCCCGTAAAGTCTTTCTCTGTTAAGCGTCCCATTAAGACTCCCGCTCTCGCCTCCCTCCAAGTTAAGCGCCCCACTCTCGCCCACCGCCAAATTATGCCCTGACTAAGATCCCTTATGCCTACATAATTTGAATTTATATTATATATTTATATGTACATATGTATATATGTATATATATATATA